CCCCACCCCCCCACCCGTCCGTCAAAAATTACAGGGAGCGATTCCCCCGACCCCCCCTGCCACGACCGCAACGCCATCAACGGACCCCCCCGCCGTCGCCGCCGCCAGCAGCAGCAATGGCAACAAAACAGCGGCGGCGGCAGCCGCAGCATCAGCTTCAGCTTCAGCAGCCGCCGCCGCAGCAGCAGCAACATACGGGGACGGCAACTCTTCCATGATCACCATGGCGGGATCGCCCCCGCCCCCCTCGGGCAGGAGCGCCGGCGTGTCGCGGGTCCCCTCGGGTGTGATGAAGGAGGACGGGGAGGTGTTCGAGGAGCCCCCGGACGTGGCCGCCGCCTCCGCCGCCGCCTCCGCTTCGGCGTCCGGGACAGAGAACCGCGAGGTGAGGGAGGACGGGGGAGGAGGAAGGGAGGGAGGAATAACGCCTTGGAGGTCGTTGGTTTGATTTGCTGAGTACCTGCTCTCCGTTGGTTGCACATCTTTGTGTTTTGTTTTCTGTCTGGAGGTGAGGGAGAGAGGGAGGGAGTGAGGGAAGCAGTTAGTGGCCGGCCTCCACGAGGAGGATGTGGATAGGGATACGAAACACCGTTCTCTATCCGCTTCCGCGTCTGTGACGTTAAACTGCCGCGAGGTGATGGAGGGGGGAGGGAAGAGGAAGCTTTGTTGGCGTCGTACCTGATTGCTGGTAGTTTTACCCCGTCCAATTTGTGTTCCTGTATGTGGCCTCCACGGAGGTATTTAGTTCTTGGCCTTTTAGTATAGAGTTGGGGATAGGGATAGCGATACGAAACCCCATTCTCTATCCGCTTCCCCGTGTGGGACGGAGAACTGACCGCGAGGTGATAGCGGAGGCGGGGAAGGGAGGAGGAGGCCTCGGTTGGCGTCGTTAGTTGCTACGTGTGCCTGCTCGCTTGAGGGTTCAGAGCGCACCACCCAATTGACAAAGAAACCTTGTATTTTTTTCCGCCGAGGCTCTTTTCTTACTTGTATTTAGGCATGGGGTACAGCATCCCCTCTCTACCAAGTACGGGGGTACGCAAATGATGAGTGCGCCTCCCCTCCCCCCGCAGGACCTGGACGTGGAGCTGGAGCTTGAGGCCGCGGCCGCCGCCCAGCCTTCCGACCTGGGCAGCAGCAGCGAGGGAGGCGGGGGCGGGAGCCGCAACGGCCTCGCGGACTTCGACGAAGCAGAGGAAAAGGAGGCCGCGAGGGCCGCCGCTGCCGTTGCCGCGGAGGAAGCTGCCGCCGCTGAGGTAAAAAAATGACAACAAAAAATGGCTAGCCCCCACTTCTTGTCCTGGTTACTAAGAGCTAGAATCCAACAATTAGGAGTAGTTCAGTTAAACGAAAAAAACAAAGTGTGGGCGGTCCAACTGCGTGGCCACTTCAGGGGGGTATTCAGGTGAAGAAAAAGAAAAACAGAAAGTCGCTCGTTCCTGTTGTGAAGAAAGTTCAATGTTCGTTTCGGACCATTTTGAGGTAAAACGGAAAACTGATGTTTCTTGTGGCTTTCTCTCACGCCCCATTCCGGCATTTGTAGGGATGCGGGGTCAATGGGCTAACGACTACGACATTCGTTGACATGAGTATCCCCCCCCCCCCCCCCCCCCCCCCCCCCCCCCCCCCCCCCCCCCCCCCCCC